TATTACGTACACAGGGAGATTTACCACTTCGCCGCGCATGCTCAGTGCTCACCCCAGTAAAAACTCCTTATTCCTTGAATAAATAATAGTTCTTAAAATTTAGATTTTTTGAATTTTCAATTAGTTCACTTTTTTAAATACTTAGATTTTTAATGCTAATTAAAGAGTGTCCTGTAGTGGTATAAATTTCTTTTTTTCAAATGAGAACATATTTGTTTCCTATAAACTGTTAAGAAGGTAGATAATTTTTTTTAAAATAAATCGAAATAAGATCAAGTGATTTCTGTGTTATTAGACTTTATTTACTAAGGCGTACATTTTACTCTCTTTAAGGAAATATTTGTATACTTTAGTCCACTATAATAGATTTAATTCTAGGGGATCCATCGCTTCATGAGGGTTTTAAAATTATAGCGAACAGCAATTATAACTAATACTATAATATATTATCATTTTATAATTTATAAAAATAGTGGGAGAATAATAAGTACACTACACAATACACATTACATAGGTCATGTTTTATATATATGATATAAAACCATTATTTAGGATTATTATCTTTGGTGTAGAAAGCTTAATATCTCAGAAAATAATCGTTCATATTTCGTTTTAGATGCATAAACATTTTTAAAAAGTCATCAGCTTTACAATGTATCTAAGCCTAGCCCACAGTACACGACCTCTTAAATGGTATAAAAACTCTGAAAATGTGGTCTTCAAGCTTAATTAAATATTCCAGAAATCAGGATTATGCATTATTAAAAAATGGGGTTAGGCATGGATAATTATAATAATTATATTAATTATAATAACAGTAGTAGTAATAACAATCCAAATAAATATAGTTTAAAGTAACAACTAAAGGGACTATATTAATATTTAATGTAGATAGGAACGTCAAAAGTTCCGACGAAAACATGGATATGAAACTCACAAGTAGATACATGACACAAGTTTGTTTATTTAACTTAATGAGAGACACTCCCCACTGTGCATTTTAGGTTATAGAACATTGTTGCGATGTATGATATAAGTTTCAATGCTAACATCGCACCTCGATGTTACCAAAACATCGTGTAAACGGTTTAGTTTTAAAAATATTTTAAGTTTACATATAAACATCCCAGAAACGTTGACGTTTCAATATCTCTGACACAAGTTGCTGCAACAGTACAACAACAGCGTAGTGATGTGATGGAAAACGAATTATATTAATTCAATTATTATTTATAAATAGACAAATATAGTGGTATTTTTATATTAAATATAAATAGATAAAACAAATTTTGTATATATTTATATATATCCCACGCTCGCCGCTAAAGCGCGGCTAGCTAACTACCACGTACCACCCACCGACCATCAGTCGACAGTCACCACACATGTCATAATATTTTTAACACTGCAATTATTATTGTAAACGGTTTTTCTGTGCGTTGAACATTTTTTTTTTATTGTATAATTAGTATAATTACTGTATAGTACCTATATAGGTAAGATGAATGCACCAAGTTTAAAAAAGGTAAGTGAAATAATATATTTTAAAAACATTTTTTCTGTAGACTTCAGACGGTAACTCGTATCTACGTGTGTACGAAAAGGTCAAGCCATGCATAGCTTAAATTTTAAGTACTTACCTAGTACTTATACCTAGTACGCTAGGAGACCTAGACGCCATATAAATTTGTCGTCTCCGTCTTACACGTCATCTACGTCATGGCAAGTTTTCGTTCACTAGTTTCAATAACTATGCTGTTATTTTTGATAGGTATTAGAGTAAATTCACCTATTATACAACTTTTAGGTACCTACCTAAGAACATTACGTATTCTCTGCTTCAACTTTTATTCGATATTTTAATTTTGAGATAATATGATCATTTTAAATATTTTGTAATATTTCACTTACCCATATCTTGCTTTAAAATTAAAATATCTGAAAAATCGCCGGCACTTGTGCATAATATAATGTTCTTAGGTACCTACCTAAACAGCACACTATTTAAACTAGTGAACCGAGATGTTGATGTTCTATGTCATACACTCGTAAGTACGTTTGTAAGTCAGAGACAACAAACATATTGGTATAGCGTCCTCTTATTTTATTATTCTCTCAAGCTACTATGATTTTGATAATATTTCTTTTACACAAGTAATTTTAGGTCTACATACAACAATAAATTCGAAATAAATCGTATTTTTCCACTATTATTTATAATTTTTTCAAAAGTTTTATTGTATATTGCAGTCATCATTCAGAAAAAAATGGGTTTTGGCAGTTTTTCCCGAGTCCAAGGACTATAGTGTTATACCTACCAAATACCAATTGGCTAGTAGACAAGGAGAAATTAGCCGAAGGTGCTGTTAAGTTTTGTCGATGGCCACTCACCAGAGTAACTAGCAATGAGTTAAAGGATGCGGTTGATCCAGAACCGTTATGGGAAACATACCGTGTAAAGATAGTTGGCCGTAGTAAAACATATGGTAAGAATTTTAGATAGCTAGCTATTTATTGTATAATATACAAGTACATGTAAGTACAAGAGCGTCACTAGAGACAATTTTTTTTAACAAAATGTAAAAAGAACTCATGCACATTAGGACAAGTACTCGTTTCAACTATTCATTATACCTACTTACTTATTACTTATTGCACTCTTATTAAAAACAATTCATACTATTACTAGTTCCTAAATATAGTTACTGACCTAATTATTTGTAATTAGGCCATACTTACTTCAATTCTATTTTGTTAGTTTTTTTTAGTATAATAGTATAGTTAATACCTATAGTAATTTACCATCATAATATTAGCTGATTTAAATATTATTATTGGTTTATATTATTACCTATTATTATTCATAAATTATTGTTTTTTTTTTTTTTTTTAGTGCATCACTTGATGTATCTGTAATATCTACTATTAATAAAGTTTTATTAATCCAATGTATCTTCCTTAATACATTCAGATAATTTTGGTAAAGCATGGCACCAAAAATTTATTGAAGAGTCGTCAGCTACGGAAAATGAAGAAATGGATATTACAAAAAAAAAAACAAAAAAAAAGCAACGATAGTGATTCAGATGAGAGTGATAATGAAGGTAAAGTAATTTTCATATTATAATTATTATTTTAGTGAATTTATGATTAAGCTATTTTTTTTAACTGTCCATGTTATACATAATGTTTAGGCAATAGTGGTTACTATATTGAGGAAAAGTCTAAGAGTCTATGTGTTGACTTACAAACAGAAAACACATGCCCATCTATATATAATATGCTACCACCAATGCTACCATCAAACATTCCCTCACAAATTGATGATTATTCTGGAAATGTCGAGGAAAATGTAGAGGCAACTACATCAATGACCCATTTAAACACTGCTGTTTCAGAATTACAGGTAATTATTATAGGTTCTCATTAAAATTTTGTTGTTCTGGAAAACATTTTTAATTAAATATTGATATAACTAGGTATTTACTTATGTACTTAGTTATTTAGATATATAATATTCGATTTTAATTAATGATAATTGATAAATTATCTAGACTATCAAGTTACCTACCTATCTATAGGTATTTTAACTTTAATTTGATAGAATTCATTACTAAATAAATATAGGTACTAAATGTTTAGGTCTATTATGGATTCATAATATCCTTTATAATTTTGTAACATAAATAATTTTTTTCAGCCTAGTATAAATACCAGTCACTTCCCCATGACTACAAGTTCTTATACTCATGGTAATAATATGACATTAAATTATTATATAATCATATTATAGGTATTATTTCTATTTAGTAATTTATTATTTTACATATTAATAGGTTTTGATGATTTAAACCCAAAGTTAATTGAAGTTCTGAATAACTTATACAGAGAAAATATTGCTACTAATCTTATGCTCAATCGTGTGATGGTAAAAGTTGAAGGAATTGAAGCGAATCTTAAAAATAAAAACCTGAATACTGATTCTACAATATATCTAGATACTGAGTTTTTAACACTATTCCCAATTAATAGTAATAATGGATTCAATCTGATAGAGAATCAAATACAAAACTCTTCAGATTTTGTTTCAAAATTGGTTAGATACCTACTCATTTACAATTACATTTGAATAAATACTCATTTTTTTTTATTTAACAAAAGGAATCATTTTTAAAGTCAGTTGGAGGTACTAATCCAAAAAACCATTTAAATAGAGTTTTGGCTAAAGTTTTCACCAATGAATTTGGCATCAAGTGTTCTTGGACAGGACGTGGGCAGAAAATTGAAATGAAAATTGGAGACTCTCATTTAATTAAAATCATTAAAAGTAAAAACTTAACTACATATACTTAGCCAAATAATATAATTTATTGAACAATGAACATAAATTACTGAAACTAAGTAATTTGATAACTGTCTAAAATATATTATTTGATTGTAAAAATACATAAATAATTCATTTTTAAACTTATTTAATTTTAAAATCATTAGAAGTCATCAAAGATGTTTCAACAAGCTTGTTTACAGAATCTGACTTTGACAAGACAGTATCAGATTGGCTAAGACATGCCAATACTCGACATAATAGAACACTAAACATTTGATTATTTCCTACCAATGTTATATTATAATTTGTATAATAATATTTTTTATTTAAATCTGTTAAGTCACAGACAAAATGTTGTTATTACCTGCAGGCTAAAAACTAAAGTTTATTTTAAATAAAAGTAAAATTGAAAACAGTTGTTTTGATTTAATTTAGTATATTTTAAATAATTGTATGTGAACAATAGTTCAATATAATAAAGAAAACTCCATTTGAAAAAATTTGTTTTCTGTTATTTTTTCTATAATTCTTATTTTTTTTTTACATTTCCATTTTGTTTTAGACTACAACTAATCTAAAAAAGAAACATATTGCCTCAATATCAAAGCGCCACTTTAAAAGAATTTTGAAGAATGAAAAAGAAAAATGTGTTATCCAAGTAGAAAAACAAAAAATGACCGAAAACGTTAATATAAGCAATACAATTATTGCCGATATACCAATTTTCAACAGTAATCATGGTGTTTTTGACAATACATCAGAAATGGTTGGTAACAATCTTCTCAATTTGAGTAAAGACTTATCTGGTATTCAAACATTAAATGTAACCCAAAATACTTTAAATTTATGTATTGAAGACATATCCGAGAATAGTAATACAAATTTATTGGATAAGTTAAGACATTGGGTTTTAGAATATAAAATTTCACATAATAGTTGTAATTCACTACTTATTATAATGAGGTCGGAGGGATTGAAAGTACCCAAAGATGTGCGTACTCTTATGAGAACACCTAAAACACATGAAATTTGTAATATGACTAATGGTACTTACATTCATTTAGGCTTTGAAAATATGTTAATACCAGTTTTAGAGTTATATTATAAAAATGTAGGAATATCTGACAACAATTTAAAAATAGGGATTAATATTGATGGTTTACCTTTGGTAAAAAGTTCCAAAAGTCAAATATGGCCAATTTTAGTTTCTATTTTAAATTTTAAGGAATTGCGTACTAATGTTTTTCCTATTGGTATTTTTCACGGTTACCAAAAGCCTCAATCGGTTGAAGAATTTTTTAATCCATTTGTTTCGGATATTTTAAAAGTATTAAAAGATGGTTTGTATGTATGTGGAAAATTGTTAAATGTAGAGGTATCAAATATAGTTTGTGATGCCCCTGCAAAATCCTTTCTTTTAAATGTAAAGAGTCATAATGCTTATTTTGGGTGCACATCATGTGTGGAGGAAGGAACCTATTTACAAAATCGTGTATCTTTTCTTGGAACGGAGTCAAAATTAAGAACTGATGAATCATTTCGCAAACAATTTGATGATGACTATCATAAAGGGGATAGTCCATTACTGAATTTACCAATTAATATAACTGAAGTAGTATGCCTTGACTATATGCACAATGTTTGCCTTGGAGTAACAAAAAGATTGATAGAATTTTGGGTTAGGGGCAAAAAAGACATTAGATTAGCTGACGAAAAAAAAAAACAAATAAACAATGAATTAATAAAATTAAGAACATACATGCCTTCTGAATTTGCTCGGTTGCCAAGGTCTATTGACGACATTGAGTATTTTAAAGCAACAGAATTGAGAAATTTTGTCATGTACACTGGTGCAATTGTCTTGCAAGGTAAATTAAAGAAAACTTTTTATAATCATTTTATGCTTTTAGTATTTGCTGTTCGTATTTTAGCATGTGCTGAAACTTGTCAGACGCTCAATAATATAGCTTCTCAATTATTAAAAAAATTTGTTACTGATTATGCTACATTATATGGTCAACATTTAATATCCTACAATGTTCATAGTTTGATACACCTACCTATGTTTTCAATGATACATGGACCACTTGATAGTTTCAGTGCATTTAGGTATGAGAATTACCTACAATTTATAAAGAAATCTTTAAAGTCTACAAAATATCCATTACAGGAAATATTAAATAGAATTGTAGAAAAGCAAAAAACTGATAACTCTAAGTTTGATCTCTACCCCCAGTTGCCCCATTTAAGCAAAGAAATCCATCAACATTCACTATCAGTTTTAGAATTATCTGATACAGTTTATAGAAAATATAGTTTAATAAGAACAAATACAACTATAGATACATTAAAAGAAAAGGATAAATACTTCATGTTAGATGATAACGCATTGGTCTCAATAGTTAATATTGTAAAGTCTAAAGACAATTCTGTAAAATTTTTTGTCAAAAAATACCTAAATTGTAAAGAATTTTGCAATGGACCTGTTATTTCTTCCTTAATTATAGGTATGTACAAAATTATAACTGATGAAATATCAGATATATATTGTGTAAATGAAAATAATTTAAAACATAAATGTTTTTGTGTTAGTGTAGGTAATAATTTAGCAATTATGATAACATTATGCCATGAAATAAACATGTAAAAATAAATAAAAAGTATAATTTATATTAATATGCTGATATTAAAATTAGGTAAGTAGGTACCTATTAGTTATTACTTACCTAAATATCTAAACTTCTTATATTTGTATATTAGTATTTAGTTTTTTTTATTGTAATAATATGTAATGCATTAATACCTATAATATACTATGATATACCTATCTATATTATTAAATTGTTGTTTGTTGGTATTAATATTTAAATTGTTTTGTCTTCTAAATTTAAAATGTTATGTTTATAATAAATAGGTACATAATATTATGTTACCTATATCCTACATGCAATAAAATAAATATATTATATATTATTGAAACTTGAGAGTATTTTTTTGTACATTTTTATCATAATCTATTATATTATTATGGTTTATTATTTTATGAGCTACTTAATTAATAAATAATAATATATAGTGCATAAAAAAATATATGCAATATTTGTGTCATGTTTAGGCCGTTGGAGGGTATGTTATCAAAAAATAGATAGCCTCTAGTAGTAGCTGCGCTTGAATTACCTATTCATTTCTTAGTTTAAATGGATTATGCTGGACGTACGTAGGTAGGTACCTAAATTTGCTATGTTATGTATTTCATGTTTTTAAGATGGTGACTACAAATACAGTTATTATAGTATAGGTACACATGTTAAGTACTTTTTTGACATTAAATAGATCTCTAATTTTCTTTCTTCTGAGAAATATCAGAAAAAAATAAATGTACCTATTTGAGACACATAGATAGATAGGTACCATATCTACGTAATATCATTTGAATTTATAGTAGGTAGGTATTTAATATTTATGCTGACATGTTGTAAGAGACAATAGTTCTTAATAGTTATGTTGACGTAAGTTTTGTACCTATCTAAAATGAACATTTTAGGTAAGTAATGTACTTAAATGTATGTTATTTTCACATAATAATACAGTATTAAATTTGTACAGAAGTACTTTGTTTTATAAACTAACTTTTCGTTTATAATAATACTCCCCGGCCCCCGCTGCTTAGTCCTTAATCTATCATTTCTAAGCACAATATTGTGAAAATGTTATTACCTAAATACAACAATTACACACATTATTTCCAATAGGCAGTCATGGTTAGGTAGGTTAAGGCGTTTCCCAGTTAGGTAGGTTAAACAACAATCCTCCGTACTTAGAGTTCGATACCATGATCGGACTGATTATTTTTACACTTTTTTCTCATTTTACTATAATCGATCTCGTATAGATGTTGATCAATAACATCTATGTAACATCTACTAAATGTAAAATAGATGTTTATAAACCGTTTTATTTATAACATATCAGGGATGTTGATACGATGTTACAAAATATCTAATATAAACGTCAATACAACTAATATGAAACGTCATCAAATTTGGACAACGGCAGTTACCACAACATCGGCGCAACGTAAAAGTAACAATGAACGCAATGTTACAAGTTGATTTGAAACGGTTCTGAAACGTTTATGTGACCGAATATTGCACAGTGGGTCCGCTAGATAGATATACATTAAAATAAACGGTTAAGTTGTTTTATAATTGCATTTGATAATTCATACGTTTTAAAATTAGATAGAGTTGGTAATAACATTTAAATAAAGAAATTAATGTTAGACATAGACATTATTTAACTCAAATATTTGACGGAACGTATTATAGCTAGACCCACTGAAATATTATAATTGCATAACTTCAAACAACTACCTTACAATATTAGTGTAAGCTGTAGGCTGTAACCATGACCAAAACCCCTCGATAAGGTGGTAAAATAAAATGGAAAACATTCAATAGCTCATTCCTTTTATCGATCAATTACTAGTTCTGCTTACAATAAAATGCTGTTCATTTATACTTCAACAGAGTTTTCAATGAATATTCAATAGAATAAATTAAATTAAAAATAATAGTTTTCAGTTGATATTGAAATATGAATGACGAATGCGTAAATATATCATAGTATGATTATCATAAATAATAATCAATTTTCTACAATTTTATTTTAATACATTAAATACTCATAAATATATTGGTTATGAGTCATAATATTACAAGTTATAACCTAATATAGTTATATGTAATATCATGTGACCATATAAATGTATTATAATACATTTTTGTTTGGAAAACTGATAATATATATCTCATTAACTTAAGTACGGATAATTTTCATTTAAACGTGACTAGAATACGAAAAACTGTATTATATTTTAAAATGAATGACCATATTATTTGTTCATTGAATTGTTCTATAATACCTAAACTAATAAAAATTTAAAACTATTTGTATTTTTAAATATTATAATAGCTCGGTAACAATAGAGCCGTAAAGTCTGAGGTTGGTTTAATTTAATGAAAACAAATTATCATTATGATGAATAAACAAAATATAAAACAATCGTATTGCTCGAAAGACTGACAATAATTATTTTGCGTTTTAAATACGGTTTTTAGCTATTTACATAATATTTTAAGTACCAACTACAAGGTTATTAGCTGATACAATTGAATCATTAACAATATTCAAAATTATATTATATTAAATTATTTGATGAGGATTAGATAAATGGGTGATGATTCTTAAAATGTGGTTTTATAACGATCGAATATTAATAATATACAATAAACTCTTACTGTTCGATACATCATTGCTGTTTCTATGAAGGGGTTACATAATATGTTATCATGCATAGAGAATTCTATATTAATATAGAAATATAAAGTGATTTATGCTGGTTGTGAAGGTGTTGAAGTGTTGTACTGATCAGTGGTCAATGGTGTATAAATATGACATAAGACGTTAACAATGTCAATTGTTACGATGAACAATAATAATAAAATTACTAATTAGCCAACATCAGTGCTTATTGTACCATACATAATAAATTTATTTTCAAGCATAATATCATACGTCAGTATAAAAAAATTTCCATAAAATAATCTTTTGCAGGAATGGGCTGCTTCTGAGTTTTGAAGCAGCAGGTAACACACTGCGATTTGTAACACGTCATGTATATTTAACATTGAAATCATCCAAATGCACAATCATACAAGGGGGCTTCTACAAGACTAGATTAAAACCCAATTCAAAAATAAAAATAAATTACAATCTTACAATTTGTACAAAATCAGTGAACATTAACTGATAAAAGACTAATATGGCATAACTAAAAATTATGAATGCAACTGAAAACAGCGAACTTAAAATAGTATATTGTGTGGCAAAGGCGGGAAGTGACAGTGAGCTGTTTGAGTCGAGGGCGACGTATGTGCCGCATTTGCCCAAGATTGAAATTGCCTTCCCACACGAGCCACACATACTATTTCTTGTCACGCCTCTGCCTTCATCGATCACGGCAAAGGTAATGCAGGGCTCTATGCAACAACTGGACTATAATTATACGACAACAATATTTCATGAAAGAAACGATTTGGTTTTATTTATTTTAAGCGTCACGCATTGAGGTTATATTATGATTATGAGATGTAACCAAAAGTTTATGTTAAATAAAATAAACCTAGAATAACTATTTTAGTTATTTTGTCGTGATTGTATAATATTATTCGTGTGTACTTGAAACTTCTAAAGTAGTAAAGTACACTATTATATATCCATGATAGTATCAGGGTATGTTGTTGATGTATAACGCGTTCTATGTACCTAATGGATATTGTGATATGATTATTTTGGAATTTATTATAGGTACCTATTATAGGTCAATTTTTTTTAATATTATAGATAAGTATATAATATGCCTTATACCTAGACTGACATACCGTCTCCGCTCAGAATCGTTTTTCTTATACAATGATATTATATCATTGAATTCAAAATTAATACCATCCATTATACAGTGACCAACTTGTAACCTACTGTCAGCAGAGCACCTTTTTTAGTTATTAAAATTTTTAAATTAAGGATATAAAGTCCTAAAAAATTGTTTACAAAAATATACAATGGATGTAATATGGGGTCAAGCATTTATTATACTTGGGCCATTGCCCATTTTTACAAATTATTAATGTTGATTGATTAATATTAATCACGGGCATTTTATATAATAACCATGTTCCCCATATATTACGAACATATTAGGTACTATCTGCTTACAATTATTTCTTAATATTCTGCCTGTCGAAGTAACGCACAAGCTGTCCGGACAGCGTCTTCGATGCCATGGTTGGGGGGGGGGGGGGAGAAAAAGGTACATAAAAATAAAATAACTCAAAAATGACTCATATGAATTTAGATTTTATACCTACGTCAGTACTTCAACATTTACAGAACAATTATCCACTAAATAATTTACAGCATAATAAGGGGAAGAGGAGTTCTCATTTGAAAAACAGAAGTTTGTGACTCCACAGGACATTTCTTAATATGTATTATAACAAATCTCAAGAACTTAAAAATATAGTCTTTAAGTATATTTATAAATTGCCAAAATCAGATTTTTAATAACCGCCTTATTGAAGAAAAAGAGGGTGAGTATGATTGATGGATAACCCTGTATACAAAAATATGTATAGTAAAACGTGTAACCAAAAAAGTGTACCAATTTACTATTTTAATATACAATAGAGAATTTTATTCGGGTATAAAGAAGTGAAAACGAATAAAAATTTTCAAATCCTTACAGTAATTCACTTTAGAAACAAACAACGTGATTTAATGTTGTATATATTTTTTTCATTCTAAATAATTTAGCGACTGCAGTTCTTCATCATTGATAATTTAATTTAAAGAAAAATACACAAATTTTTTACAAGAATTATTCACAGACATTTCCAGTTAACACGTTTTGTTTAACACAAATAGAAATGTCAAAATAGTTTTTTTTCTCAAAAGTAAAAGGTATTGTTTTAACTAGGTATATAAACCATTATAATATAATATATTATAATTTATAATATAAATCGGCATTACTTTTATCAATCACGAATAAAGATGAAACATTTTTGTTTTATTTTATATTTTAGC